ATATTCCACTTTGTCCTACAAAACTCTTTGGTTGCTTTCACAATATGTTTATGATCATTTTCCATCTGCACCATGACGCTCTGTCCAATGAATTCTGAAGCATTGGGCTGAATATGAGCAGATAATACAGCGGGTAAAATAAGGATTGAACACGTCACCACATTATTCCACATTATTACAAATAACTTCATTTCTGGACATTTATGGTTTGATTTCTTTGTATGTATGGATCACTTGGGTTGTTACCGACATCTGGTGAAAATTTCATGTCATTAACACCTCTAGTAATATATTTACTGGGAAAAATGCTGACGTGTTCAATACTTATTTTACCCGCTGTATCACTGCTTTTCTCCTCTGTGCACTGACAGGTTGAAGAGAACTTGCTGAAATCTAGCTTGGATCGCTGCTTGAGCGCACAGATCAATAAAAACATGGCTCAGAAAATCACACGGGACAAAAGGAAGCTGCAGAAGTGGCTGCTGCCATTTACTGAGCGTACCCTCGTCCGACAGCTCAGTGTGTTTACTGTAGGACTCACATCCCCCACTGAAAACACACTGGCTACATGTGCTCAACTCTCTCACCTCTGATAATAACTATAATCAGCACTTTGGTCTTGTAGCGCCACACTGAGTTGTGTTTATGTACGCAACAACCTGCTACGGCTAAGTGGCTCATAAAAATATATAAAACTACACGAGCAAATAAAATGCATGAAGCTCTCAGATACGCAGATTTCTGTCTCGCCTTTATTTTGCCACACAATCACTGAGAGCAGATGTGATTAAATGTAGAGGAAGGGGAAAAAGCAGGCTTAAATGTTAATAAGATTTCTCTGACCCCTTCAGATAAAGGTCAGCAGTGATGCGCTGAAGCCAAATGGAAAATGAAATAAGGCTCTGACATATAACCGTGACGCAAGAGGACTGCTGAGCCGCCGTGTGCTCATGGTAACTGTGTCCTCAGACTGTTTCCCCGAGTCTTTCTAGAATAACAAAAAGTATTTAAAAAAACTATAATAATAAAAAACTTTAATTTATCTGAGGAGCTGATGTTAACAAAGATAAATTGTGCCTTTTTGACATTATTTCCAGAAGACTGACTGAAATGTCTGATACGGTTTGATTAAAACATTCGAAAAGCTCCTGTTTTGCCAAATTTCAGGAGGTGTGGTAAAACGCTTGAGTCTTCTCCTTCAGGGCAAAATGTCTGAGAAAACTACAGCAACCCTCGTCCTCCAATAAAACCTTCTGCATCCAAAGTGATCGTCCACAACACCCCAACCCTCTGAGATGCAAACGTTCCTCTCATCTGAAGTTTAGTCTTAGTTAATGATTTTTCCAGCCGCATCTTGTTGCGAGTGCTGCATTGAACTGGGATCCAAACTTCACCTTTTTTATAACGTGCTCCAGATCAATGCATGACTTCACACTGCAGTAACTCACCAACCAGTCACGTTTCAGCTCTGTGAACCCTGAGCTGTACCGTAGGCCCTTTGCTCTGTGCTTTCTCTTCTTTTATTAGGAGCATTGAAACAACGGTTCTACATCCTTCGCTGCTGTATTCAGTGAGAAAATTACAAAAAGCTTAAATTAAACATGTCAGAGAAAAGAAAAGAAACCAGAGGACTGTATTGAGCAGGGTGTTCTAGTTATGAATAAAAAGATACGCTTAAGAAAAGTATGGCAGACCATCCTTTGTACACTTTTTCTTGAAATTAAATGAAATTTACAGAATATCTTCTGATGGTATGTTGTAATTAGTGGCAAAATACTGTCAAAGGTATTTGTAAAAACGCAGTTTCTCACGTCTGAGGTACAGTGAATGATGGTTTGAAGTGAAGGTTGAGAGAAGAAGAGACCAGCTGTCTGGATTTCTTTTATTCTGAATGTGAGAAGTGAGGTTTTTTTTTACTACGGAGCCCGCGATGGGACATGAGGAGGATATTTATCTTTTGCGCTCCCATGCAAAAAGTTTAACATTTTGTATGAACTGTATTAAATCAGAGTGTTGCCACAAGTTCAAGAAACTGACAGTGACATTGCGTCGCTGCATAGAGTTAAAATATCTGCATATTACATACCGGTACCCCCATGCATGGCTGTGATATATTCATTCTGAAGCTGAATTAAAGTAGTGTGCTAACTCCCGTATAATAATGAGCATGAGATTTTGTTAATATACCAGCAGGCATTGCAGTAATAAATGGCTTTTTGGTCCCCATGTCCCCTCGTGGGCTCTGTAATTTACCGTATAAAGAGACTGTGTTCAATGTTTTGAGTTGAGTGAGTTCAGACACCTGAATATACACAGTATATATATATACACATATACTTTCAAATCTTTAAGAAAAGTATTTCATAAACACGCTCTAGATTTTTAATTAATGTGGATTAATCACATGTGGCTATAAGAGCAGTGTGCAATTTGTTAAAACTGTCATGGTTTCATTTAAATCAATGGTTCTCAATTATTTTCTGCCATGTGCCCCCCCCCCCAGCCCCGGGGAACTTAAAATGTTATTAATTAGATATTTTTTGTTTACACTTCACTGGCCCATTATTTCAAACCAGTACTCTGAACTTTAAAAACAAGACAGAGCTGTTTGTGCACCACTTGACAAAGGTTGGTATTAAACAGCATCGTTATTTTATGCCAAATGGTCCTTGTTTCGTCTCATTAAAATGGAAAAAGAATGACCAATTTAATGAGTTAGGACACTGTAAAGAACTATTTTTTTACACCAAATCAGAAACTCTTGACATGTACTCTAACGTCTCTCCCTTATATTCCAGTCTGAAGCCATTAATCGAATAAAGCGAGGTTATCGAGGGCAGAATGTCAACAGTCTGGACTCACCGGGGTTCTTGGCCTGGAAGTCCGTCTTGCGTTGCAGCGTGGATGGCAGATCGTTGAGGCGGAGCGACAGCTGTCTCTTGAAGGGAGAGTTCTTCTGGCTCAGAGCGGGAAATCCCCTGAAGGAGCCCTGGCGCACCAGCTGCTCAATGGGCGCGTGGCGGCGAGGGATGGCGTGGGGCCCGCCTGGTTCTGGGCGCTCCATTGGAGACGCCGCCCCCTCGGGTGGGGAGGCGGCGCCTGGTGGGAGAGCTGGGATGGCGGAGGGCTGGTCTGGGGGAGGGGGAGACAATCAGTAATATATGATTTACTCTGGGAGTTTCTGTAACGCGTTTGTTCTAATTAACAGAGAGATTGGGCCTCATGCAAGAACATGTTCGTATTCTTATCCTAAATTTCTCTTACTTTTGTTCGTACAAAGGGTTCGTACGAACATGTCACGTCAGATTCAACAAACTCTTCTATCTTCCTGAAAAGTGTGTAAATGAGCTGCGTAAATTCCACCTGTTCGTATCCAGCTGCTCGTGCACGCAAGAGAAGATTAGCATAATTACCACCCCAAAAACACCATATAAGGCTGTGTTTCCTGCCTCAGATATCAGGAAGTGTCCATTCATGAAAATGACAGCGAAAATTAAAAAGAAGAACTTTACGAGTTCAGAGATTGAAGTCCGTCTGTCAGAGATCCAGAAAAAAAAATCATTTTTCTTTTCAAAGTCAAAATTTTTCTTTTAAAGTCATTTGTAGCAGGTCAGCTGTGGAATAAAAAGAGCTGCTAATAGAATAAACAACTGTGTTAAATCATTTTCATTTATTCAGAAGCCACACCGTTGCGCACTGTATGCCCCCCCCCCCCAGCGCGGTCTCAAGTGGTCTCAGTTGCGGTTCTGAAATAAGCATTTTAAAATGTTTTCAAAATACGTCTGACACTTTGGAGAAAATCCAGGACTTGCTGGAGGGATTATGTATCCCCTCTGGCCTGGGAACGTCTCAGAGTCCCCCAGGATGAGCTAGTTAGTGTCACTGGGGAGAGTGGGGTCTCTCTGCTGCTGCCCCCGCGACCCGATCCCGGATAAGTGGCGGAAAACGGACGGATGGACAATTAATATTGTTAGTCTAAATTATTACATTTAAAATTATAACTCTAATTCATGCAGAATAGCCTATTGTCAAGATAATCATGGAGTGTAATTTATTTTCAACTCAAAATATCTTCAAACTAACGAAATATAAAGTTGTTAGGGAGGAAAACCCATCTGGATAACAGCAGACTGACTGCTGGTAAAATATACGACAGGTCTGGACCACTCGTGAATTTTGTTCGTATCTGAAAAAAATCTTAGAATACGAAAACATTGGTGAATGCCACAAATTCTCCTAAATCACTCGTACGCACAACTTAAGAACAAATCTGTGCGTACGAATGGTTCTTCCATGAGGCCCATTGTTTCTGACTTCTACCTTTCTTCTTCTCCTGCAGCTTCTCATCACGCTCGCTGCTGCTGCCCTGCTGGCTGGAGGATGAGTTGATGCGGAAAGAGCCCTCGCGCACGAATGAGGTGCGACTGGCATCGAAGGACGCCGTCACACCGCACTCCTTCTCCCTGCGCTGCTTCCTCTCCAGGCAGGCGGCAAAGGCACAGCCCACTGCATGGCTCAGCCTCTCCCCCTGGTACACACACAAAAAGATAACACTCAGTTCTCAGCAACATCCTCATACTGTAGCCTAACCTGTGTTTTAGACCGTTTTTTTAATTCTAAGCTCATTTCAACCATGAGCTAGCACCGACAATGGTTCTCAAACAGTGAGGAACGACTTGTAGGTGGGCACTGAGTCACTACTTATTCTATTTTACTTTAATTTATGAAACTATGAATTTTATAAAGAACTAATGTTGAGATGTTGTCCTCTGACTGCACTGATGTCAGTTATAAGTGATGAGGAGAAAAGAGAGGAGTCTCTTTAAAGGAGGAAAAGAAATATGCGACACCACCTGTATGTTTGACTCAAATGATGCTTAAATATAAAGGATACAGTGTATAAAAATTTATATGACCATATCAAGATTTTATCAATACAAAACATACATATATTATGACAACATTACATTTTGTGTAAGAAATAAAATAAATACTGGGTAGGATTATATAACTTTATGCTTCTTCCTACTCCTTTTCAAACAGAAAACGTGCTGGTATGTTCTATATTTACCCACTGTTAATGATTTTATTTATTTATTTATCATGTTTTGTTTCTACTTTTGTGTCTGCCTATTTGTGTGCATTGTCTAGCAGAAATTTTGTGACTAATAAACACAATTTAAGATCCAGTCTTGTATTTTCAGCCATATACAGCAGGTAAAATAAGTATTGAACATGTCAACATTTCTCTCAGTAAATATATTACTAGAGGCGCTAATGACATGAAATTTTCACCAGATGT